CATACCTTGAGTTGGAAAAACAAGAAAGGGGAGTACAGAAAATAACCACTCCAACAATATCCACTTCTGAACACAGCTGGGACGAACCACTACGCAACTGATCAAAAGAACATGCCTGCAAGAAAAACGATGACAAGCGGTCACCTCTCTATAAGCCTGACACTTCTCTAAGGCCCATTCCTCACGTATCTGGATATTTTTGAATCCGCAAATTTTTCTTTCCGATTGCAAAAATTTCCACGTCCACACGCAGCGTATTCAAATCGAACTATCTCGTCCACAAGTACGCGAATTCACTCTCATTTCGTCAGCTGGTTTGAAAAGTGATCTTTGGCTAATGTGAAATTTTTCTCACCATTCTTCCGCAAAAAAACGTTTTCGCTGACAAAACTGTCCCATCAAGCACTAGTTTGCTCCTTTAACTTCTTTATTGGTGTCTAATTCGTCCGTCCGACATCGAAAGAAGCCGTTCGCGCCACCGCTTGGCATAATTGAAGTGTACAGTATTAATAGTTACGTTTAACTGTACACGAGTAAAACTGAAGTTTAAGAAGTAAAGAAGGGATAACATTGCGCTCGGCATCATCTTGAATATTCACGGTAAAAAAAACCTGCCTCGATCTTGTTACGTCAGTGGATGAAAAAAATATCCGAATTAACCGTCCACACGATTCCTGATTCATAGCTCATTCAAAAATTTCCACTCTGGAGAGCTGATTAAAAAAATTGCCAATTAGTATGCCGGATTTACCGGATACGTGTGGACGAAAGCCGAAAGAGTTGCAGATTCAAAAATATCCGGATACGTGTGGAGGAGGCCTAAGGTAAACAGGGATGGCTGGTCCCTGGTTGATTTAACACTTTTAACCCTAATATTAAAATTGTTATTCTCATTTGTTGTCCCTATATGTTTTCAATAAAAGCAGTGGGAAGAATTTGTTGAAGTATCAGTTAGACTCATCTTTCCTGATCATGTAGTCAATTCTCATGACCAGTCTGTTTTCTAAAGAATTGATATTATAAGGAGAAATTTCATGCTGATCACTCTTAGGCCTTAAAGGGTCAAAGGCAAGATCAACTTTGAAAAAAAACCACCCGTCCACTAGCTTGCCCAGGCGAAATAAAGAGTTCATACCTTGCGGGCGAAGTAACTAGTCGTCACATTCGCGTCAATGGGTAGTGCTTCATATCTGGTCGTCCTAGATGCAGTCAACTTGAATGAATCATATCCAATATTAGTACCGTTTTGTAACCGATTTTGAATCAAAATAACACAAAAATTGATGGAATCAAATGACCGGCCCCAAAGGTTCCCCGACTCCCCCGTCTAACCCTCATTCACAAAAAACAACACAACAACAACAACAACAATTTAGAATAACAAAAAGGAAAAATGGAGAACGAAAAATCTGAACTCTATAATACGAAGAGAGGTTTACATTTCTAATAACAGAGATTTTAGAAAAGAAATTGAGAATAAAAATTAGCGATAGCAATGAATGACGTTTCAATGACTCCATGTCATCATTTTCAAATTGTTGTATTTTTTAGTTCCTTGAGTTCATTACATAGGGAGTTGCGTGCGAAAGTTTAATTGCATGTGATTAAAAGAGAAAAATGCAATATGAAGTGTAGAAGGTACTGATTATCAAAAAAAAAACCTAAACTGAACACCCAATCTGACTCTTTCAAAGTAAAACCATTTGCCTGATAATTAGCACCTTTTACCCTTCATATTGTATATCGCTAGGTTTACATTTCAAACCAAAACACAAGTATATACAATGACGTTTTCGATTTCTACAAAGTCATGTTATCACTACAATATCTTCAATAGACTATCAAGTTAATTTTAGTCTTCGGAAATTTAGGCCCACTGTGAATACTTAAGGATTTTTCGGCAACCACGTCTACTTCTTTTTCGACTGTCGACGTACCTGTAATTCCTGGGCACCTAGTCGACACCTGAGAAGAGAGGGTGCGTGACAATTTAAGGAGATATATATATATATATATGTAGTTAAAGTTGAGGGTGCACATGAAGCATATGTTTACTTAGAAGTATCACTTGTTCGTTGTATATTCACCGTGAGATGTCACGTACAATAATGAATACAATAGACAACGGTTTCCCCAGGTAATGGGGAGCTTGAGTAACAACGACAAATACGGCAGCTAAAACGTCACTTGTTGCTGCTGTTTTATTATTTATTTATTTTATTGATTCATTTTTTTACGAACTTAGTAGCGATTATTCCATTCGTGGCCAAATAGGAAATGCTGAGGTAATGGTTTGTATCACTTACATTTGCTTTTAAGCAATAGTACTTTTGAGCAATAGTATTTGACAATTTAAAAATTGTCAAATGCAGGTGAATTTCCTTGGAAATGAATTCCTAAGGACCGAATGCAAGTTTTGAAGGACAAACGAAAAATCGTAGTCGTTTGTGGAGTTACGACCTCCGTAAAACGTCGTACAAGCTAAGTTAAGGTGGTTCGATAGGATTTTTAACGGTTAATACCTCCCAAGGTATTGACGTTGACGTCGTGTGGTGGCGGCAAAGAAATGTACAAAAAATCATGATGCAGAGTTCGAGTCACTGTTTTGCCTATTAACCTATTACTTAACATGTTCGTTGTCGCCGATGTTGTCATTAACAAAACCTCCTAATGGCTTAGGCTGAACAGTTTTCAAAAGCCCCAAGTGTAATAAGTCATAATCTTCAATCAATCCTCTGCAATGACCCATGCGTGAATCCTTTTGTCTATGTATTGCTGGTACTTATTTCTACATTTCAGGCAGTTTTTGATCAGCCGCCAAAAGGGGGACTTGATTTCTTAGCGTGACACAGCTCAAGCTTAAAAATTGCTTTACCTGACACCAGCTGCCGTAAGGTGATATATCCTCAGTCGAGATCCCTCACTCAGTAGTTGCATTAAATCTTCGCTTGCTCGCCAGATACTCAATATGGCATCTGTGATTTGGACAAATATTAACCATTTCACTTCTAAAGCTAAATATGAGGCTGATAGAGGTAGCTTAAACATTGAAGCGAGGAATTTCAGTGAAAATGGTACGAGTTGTTTTTCAGTATTTCATGTAACGTGAGATTTGAATGCTTCTTGTAAACTACTTTGTCACAAATTTACAAATACTCTTATGGTGTCTGATAATCAATTGATACTTCAAAGCCTTATATTCATTCTAAATTGATCAATACTTACTTTCTTTTGTACGGTATCTGTAGTCTGTAATCCAAACTTTCAGTAGAGGGACCACATTTCGTTTCAACTGACACTGAGGGAAAACCAATTTGATATTATTATTATTATTACTACTATTATTATTATGACCATCATCATCATTTTCATTATCACTATTTCAAAAGTAGCTATGAATATCAACATCAAGGACCAGCTACCTCTTCCTCCTGCTCTTGCCAAATTAGTTCAAACTTTCTCTGTAATTCAGCACATTTCTTTTCCTGTATCAAGCGCTGGTATTCCTCCAGAGCGGTCACTTGGCGTTCATCGAGACATTCCTAAAAGAGAGAAAAGGGTTGTTTGCGATTACATTCGACGAAATCCCCCCTCCCCCCTCCTCCACTTCGACCGCCACGCTCAAAAAGAGAAAGACGCTTGGGAACACAGAAAGTATCTAATAAAAATCAAGACCCCCTTGTAGTTAGTATCCATATAAAATGAAGTTCACGGTAGTTATAGGTCAGTCTCACACACCTTTACCGCGTCGGGGTCAGACGCTCGTGTAAGAGCTTCGTAGATTTCCCTTCCATCACTCAGCTGACTTAAATCGCGGGATGAATAAGATCGACGACGAAATTTGGTTGTTCTTTGTGTCTCGATGTCTGAATAAAAAAGTAATAATAATTAACACCGGACGTGACGGGAAGAATTTATTCAAAATTAACGATATGGGCATCGCTTGTGAGCATATATACCAATGAATAAAAAATAAAGAAGGCAGTTTTAGGTTATTTCATAGAATTGCAGTCCACTCCAACGTATAACGGGCAGCTCCTTTAAAGAGATTTCTAGAGTTTTTGCCTTCCGTTCGTCAGTAAATTTCTGTGACTGTCTTTAAGGGACCAACCGAACGTTAGCGCCAAGCGGTGTGGGTCTAAAAGAGGGTTAAATAACGTCACAGATTTTAATGAAAGTATCAAACCTGGCTGTCCTGATTCTTTTTCAAACTCCTCTTGTACCTGAAGAAAAAGCTTCTCACGTCGCTGTTGACGATCGGCTTCAAACCTTTTGGCTTCTCGCTCTTCGAGGCGAGAATTTCGAAAAACGTTTGTCCCGTCAGGCATCTTTTCCATCCACTACAAAAAAGGATAGAGCATATCAGAACATAAACAGTTTTTAAATAGAAACGCCAACCATAACTGAGGGTGCTATTTAGCCTGCAAAGAAAGTCGTGTCCTGGGCTTGTGAATTTTGCTTTCGCAATCGGGCTGGTGAATTCTAATATCGACTAACTTGCGCAATGGGTAAGTGAAGTTTTACATTGTATAGTAAGCTGTAAAACCGACTTTCTGGCGCCTAGCTACTGCCCATAACGAAAATAGCGTTTACTTTTGGCTCTCTATGTTTTTCTTCAAAATAAATCAGTGGTTTTAAGTTCAAATAGCACATTCAAAACCAAATACATTTCTTGTCTGAATTTGTGTCGGAGGTAATGCCCTTTGGTTGTGTAAGTGGTTAACGAAAGAGTCACGAGTTAGTCTCTCACCTGAACAGGGTACTGTCTTAATACAACAACATCAATGCAGCCTGTGAATCCCCCATCACAAAATAAAGAGACCAGCGGTAATGGAAAAGCGCGCACGTGACTATGGAAACCAAGCTTTGCATCCCAAAGAGCACGTCGGGTGGAATTAGCGTGGAGTCGAAGCATCAACGAGGAAGGAGCCTGGTACAAAAAAGACGCATTTATCATGCGGATTATAGATTCAAACCTGTTTAACTGCCGTTGATTTAGATGTTTCAAAAATATTCTTTTTCATCATTAACCTCTCGGCCACGGCAGTGAGGATGTGTTTTAAAACACGACGAATTTCATCCATATCGGTACAGGAAAGAGAAACATGTAAAATACGTTATGTACTCTGTTAAATGACTCCCTTAGGACATTTTGTCTCCCTGTGAGAGGGGACCTAATGAGCTCCAACTAACCATTTGCCTGAGGGTAAAAAGAGAAATAATTTGAATTGTACTTTGCAGTAAGTTCTCAAACGGTGATTGCTCTCATTATACACAGTTGACGACCACATACTACAAAAGTGTACCTCGAGCGGCGATACAGCTTGTTCTGATCCCACCAACTCCGCTCCATAAACACAAATTTTTTGTCCCACAATAAGTTTCCCGTCGTTCAGCAATCTGGTGAGTGGCCTGTCCAGCAATGCACGAATGCTGTACCAGCCATCAGTCAACTCTATCACAGAAGAACTCTGAAAATAGAATACCAGTTATGATTTAAGACAGGAAGAACTGTTCAGCTTTGATTCGAGCGGTGTCTCTCTTAAGCTTGTGCCGAATTTGTTTTGATTGAACAGCTGAATTTTGCCGCAACGCCAAAAAATCTATCAAGCACAGCTTGCACAGCACATTTATAAACTTGTCTCTTAGTTTAGTTTGCTTTGCTTTACATGTCGTCCATTGAAGAGAAACAAATTTCCAGGAAAAAATACGCAAGGTATTTCATTGAGCTTCTGACAGAACGTTCCCCTTCAACAACACATTACTTCAAACAAATCGAGCTACATTCTTTATTCTGCTTTAGATTCTCTTACACTTTTAAAACATTTTTTTGTATTTTCTCCTGGAGATAGAACCTACGATAGCACGTACATACAGAGCACAACAGACGAATAGCCTGTGACAAAATATGTAAACATATATATGATTACACTGAAGACACCAACCACGGTTTTGTTAGAAGATCCCTGGACATCCTTTCCACCATCTTTGTCTTTCTGATCTAGAGACGCACCTTCAGTTTGATTGGGTGTTACCGAGACACTAGTTACACAGAGAACCATAGTGCGGCTCGACACATCATCACGTTCCAGAATCTTCTTCAGAGCAGACCTTCAAAACAATCGTAATAAATCAACCGTCGTAGCAGCAAGAATACCCAAAATGTACTCGTGAGGTATATACGATACAATGTATTATGAAAACTAAACAAAAAGAAAAAAAACTGGAGTTTCCATTTATGTTACAATCCAGTATTTGTTCGACCAAAACTAGCAAACCCAGTACACTAAGGTAAAATCACCACTGGAAATTACTGCTCGCAGGAGGCTGCTTCTATTTGAACTGTGTCACAGGCTATCAAAACAGGGCACATTATTTGCTTTTAGAAAAGAACAACAACATCAGCAAAAACAACTTGTCATTTATTTTATTCTCTTTACAAACAAATTACATTATTGTGAGTTATTGCGGTAGTTTTAATTGAAATCCACCAGTCTAAAATAAGGATTTTGCATCTACATTTTACTAACTATTACCTGTTGCTCTGATCAATTTCCCTATCATATCTGTACTTGAGCTGGCACAAAACCCAGTCTGGAGTCAAACATCTAAAACAAATACACAACGACAAGAGTAACAAAGCGGCATAACCAAATGGATCGGATAGCGGTCATATCCTATTATTATTATTATTATTGTTATTATTATTATTTTATTTTGTTTGTTTGTTTGTTTGTTTTTTTTTTATGATGGTGATGATGATATTATATTATTTCTTAATTAAATGCCATTCCCGCGCTATTGTTGCTATGAAACTTCACTGCCAACCCAGCCCTTATCCTGTCATCAAGACTACTCAAGAACGAGGGGGTGAAAATTCTTTGTAAATAAACGAGACTATTACCTTCCAGCAAAATGACGAGGAAAAGCTACCTCCATTGCAGCTAGCTTCCATATGATCCATCTGTAATGATTGGCTATCCACTCTTCACTTATCAATTGTTTGTCTACCCCTGGTGTGCTGAGAAATGCGCTGAGAAATACATTTCAAAGGTCAACTTTAACTTAAAGCCTGCTAAGGATTCTATGGGCGGGCTATCATATCAGTAAATTACAGAGACATCTTTTAAAACTCTTTGCAAGTAGGCAGTGTATCTGGATAGTCAGGGTCCTATCTTCTCATAGTCTAGTATATGAGCTGCCTTGAAGGAGACCTAGTCTACTTTTGTCTGTTTAGCCGCCATTGGAAAATCAATCAAATAATCAGTCAATAAATCAAAAAATCAATCACAAAGAAAAGAATAAATCAAAGAACTCGACAATGAGACAAAAACCCAAAGACCAAATACTGAAAACAAACCAACCAGCCATATTCCATAAAACGACACCCTGTCACCTAAACATCTCCGTTATCATCCCTTACCTTTTTATCTCTTCCAGACCAACCATGCCATCGTCTCCAGCATACAGCAGTCCTCCGTCCTCTGTCCTCGCCCCCTCTTCGCCGGTTAAGACTGCCTCGCTTAGATACTTCCTGCCCATAAATCGGAATGAGCCAGCATTGGAAGAAGTAACAGACAACACCTCAAGTGAAACACCCAGTTCAAGCAGCTGAAAGAAAATGAAAGAAGTGACGGCTGGAACAAAGTAATCCATTCGGAATTCTACCAGGCTGAGCGCAAGAATGGCACATACTAAAAACTATTTCAAACGATATAATAAATAATACATAACTATTTAGAGGTAAGACTGGTTCTTTGTTTAACTGATTACTGTTCGAATTGCAATTCGGAAATATTGGTTTTTGAGGAGAGACCGGAGTACCCGGAGAAAAACCTTTTGGTGCAAAGGAGAAAACCAACAACAAACTCAGCCCACCTATGGTGTCGACGCCGGGATTCCAACCCGGGCCACATTGAAAGGAGGAGAGTGCCGTTAATATTGCGCCAAGGCCACACTTGCTCCCGTAATACTATGCGATAGAGGTGTTATCATGACATGACTCCTCGTCAACCTAAAGGGACTGTGTTATGCTAAAATATTTTACATTTAAGAATTACAGGCCATCGTACCTCTGCAGTAGTAAATCCACCGGGTGTAGCGTTTCCTGTCATTTCCCTAATTTTCACCCTTCGATTACCACGACGAACTTGAGAAAGGAATCCCGGCTGAGGTTTGACTTTACAGTCCGTCTTTGATATCAAAGCAATAAACAGGTTAGTGATCAGGTAAGCAGGCTTTAGCTTATTACTTTATGTTACTACAGCTAGGGTGGGTTATGGCAACTAGGAGAAAAAAGGGTAACTAATATAAATTTTCCAGCAAATTACATTCAGAGATGTCTCATTGATTGTAGCGACAAACTTGAGAGGATGTCAAGTTAAGCTCTGACTTAAGCTTGGTCTTAGATATCGAAGCAAAAGGCAGGTTAACACGACACCCAACAAATTTTCGACCGGCTCAAAAATTTGATCACACACTTTTAAACACTGAACCATTCAATATTTTCGCTCTGTTCAAAGGTTAGACTATCCCGGGCAACAGTAGAGAGTGTTTTCCTTTACGGCAGTGAAACATTAACTCTAAGAAAAAGCACTGAAAAGCAAGTTGTTGGTGCCTATACTAGACTGCTTTGCACAGCACCAAACGTTTCTTGGAAAGACCACATCACAAAATTAATAAAGATCTGTACGGTTATCTCCCAAAAGTTTCTAGAGAGAGTAGCTTGGCATTGTGTTAGACAAAAAAGAGGAGGCATCGAAGCTTGTGTTGTGGCAGCCACAACACGAACAAAGTAAGATAGGAAGACCCAGGACCACATACGTACACACTCTGCTTGAGGACACCGGATTCGCCACTCTCGGAGAACTCGGAACGACAGTGCTAGACCAAAGGGACTGGCGAGGGAGAATCCATATCCGAACTGGCACTCGACCATACTAACTAACTAACTAACTAACTGTTCAAAGGAACTTTGAACGGCTAGGCGTCTTAATTTTGGTACAGTTCCGGTGGTTCCGTGTAAACGGAGCACCTAACCGCATCAATTTTCAACCGGTCGAAAATTCGTCCGCTGCCGTGTGAACGAAACCTTGCCGTAAGCTTAATGGTAATTAAACACAAATCAGGAAGTAAGAACTAAACCAACCTCGGATAATTCTGTCCTACTTTTCGAATTAAATGTGGTGTTAGGGGATGAAATCTTTAGCTTTTTCGAAGAAGGCTCCACGTCTGCGGCTCCCGGGCTCTCCAATGGCTTGAGGATGGGACATCCAGGAGCTGTACAGCGCACCAGCGGGGAGACGTTCCTACTGACAACCTGCTTTCGATAAGGCGTAACAAATGGCGGCCGTGGTCCACGCATTCTGCGGCATGCTGGAGAATTCATCGGAGTGCTTGTTCTTGGAACATTGAATTTTTTGGTCTTCAAGCCGCTAGGTGTGACTGCTTGTGATGGCCTCGGGGAGCGGTTACAATCTGTGTTAATGTGGCGCCTAAATTTTCCACAACAAAATGCCAAACTTAGTTCCTGACAAAGGTCTTTAAAATACTCCATACCGCGTTCACTAACAGTCTGTTCATACTTTTTTGTGGCAAAATGCAATTTATGCGAAGCTAAACTCGAAACAGTGGTCTTCATTGCACAATTAAGAGTGCTTTGCGTTTAAGCTCCCTTGTGCTGATTTCTTCCCTGTCCCTCCCTCCCTTCCAGGTAAGTGTGTACTGTCTTATTTCCACTGATCTAGTTGGTCAGTGTGAAGGTGTCGGTGGTGGTTGCCGCTCACTGGTTGCCTTGGATACGTTGTGTTTGCCTCTTTTGCGCTTGGCACCACCATCTTATAGAGCACCTACACCCAACCTCATCTATTCTTGATGAGGTTAAGGGCTTAACAAGATCATCTACACTTTCTTACATACACGGATCAGCGGGAAGTAAAGATCAAAGATGGCCGCGAGCTTTTAGCTCCGTGGAACCACTTTATCCTTTCAATTAAGAATCCTTTTTATTTTTCAAACTATTAGGGCAAGATATTAGTTTCACTATGTTTTCCCTTTTTCTTTTTATTTCCTTAGTTGATTATTCTTTTCCGTAAACTTGTTTATTCTATGAACAAATAAAAAGAAATTTACCCTTACTTAGTTAATAAACCTTCGCGAATCCCTAGTGATGAGATGGAATACCATGATCTTATTAACCTATTCAATCCTGGACTACGTAATAGCAAGATTATTTATCACTAAAGCTTTTACATAGGTATACGAAATCCCATGGTGTTACCATTCAATTAAAAACCTCTTAGGCAGAACTTTTGCGTGGTGATATTTATTTCTTCCAATTTTAGAAGGTAAATTTTACGTTAGCTTTTCTTTGGCCCTGCTAGGAGTAAGAGTAGTAATAAAAGCAGAGAAATACCTTGGAGTACTCGCACTTTGTACGTTATCGACCCTGGCAAGCCGAGCCCGCAGGGAGGTGTTAAAAGATCTTGTCCTTCGATCGTGTAAAACACCTGAAAAGAACCATAGCAATACCAAACCAGTTACACATTACAAACTGCATGCTGTATGCTGTTCCACTCCGTGGTTCCACTACAATTTACTGTTATTAGTCAGTCTCTTACTTTGAGACAGCTTTCCATTTGAAAGCGAGTTTCCCAAATATCTTTTAAGTACGTTTTGAAACTAACCTGACGGAGTAGTTGTGCGAGGTTTCATTCCATTTCGTGAACTGAACATGCCTTCGGTACACTGCAACTGAAATTTCACTACAAAATTACATCACATTATTACCCTAACAAGGGCTTGTTTTTAAAGAAATTTGCTGCCGTCAGTAGTTGGTTTGGGGTTGGGGAGGTGGAGGGGGTGGAATATAAAAATTGGGGTTAATGGTGAGTTGATAAACCGTTAACATAAAAGTCAAAAGCTGACATTTGGCTTGCCCCTCTACAAAGCGAGCCCAAAGGGATACCGCAGACGAAAGGCTGGTGCATAAAACGTCAGCTTTGGATCTCTTATGCTGGATAGGCAATTTGCTTTAGAAACTCAGTCGATAACGGCAGATTTGTAATGCCGTATTAAAATAGGAAAAATCAACTTCAGTTCTAATAGTTAGTATAGGTAATAGCATGATTTGTAGTGATATTTCGCATAAATGCCACGAGTGATATTTCGAAATTGTTATACTTAATTTCACGAACCGTTAGGCGAGTAAAATTTGAGACAATTTTGCAATATCACGAGTGGTATTTTTACCAAATATCACGTACAAATCATGCTATTATCTGTTTTTACCACTAGCCGCAAAGGTTTGTAATTTTCACTTGTAGGTATTTCAAATTAAGCTGAAATACCACTGCTCTAAGCCAATCAGATTGCAGAAATTTCTCATGTAGTGGTATAAGCATTAAAATTCAAGGACTTTCCAGCGCCGACTGCAATTTTCAAGGCCTTGAATTTTTATTTTAAAAATCAAGGACTTTCAAGGATTTTCAAGGTGCGAACCAACCCTGTACTTTCACACTGCGGCACCGGACGAATTTTCGATCAGCTGAATAATTTGATAGGACACTTCGTTTACATGGAACCGCTTTACATGTTCGCTCTGTTCACACGGAACGGACAAACTAGGTTGAATTTTAACTTTTCTTAGTAGTTTACCATCTGCCCATGGGCAGAACTTTATTTTGCCCAATCCAAACTGGCATTTTTCAGCTGAGGAGGTACTCCGTATCTATGCAACCAAAAATGTGCTGTAAAAAATTGAGACGATCATACCGCGCCTGCCAATTTTTCACGTACATCTAATGTTAATAAATCACCTTGAGATTCAAGAGACGTAAAGTAAAAGGATTACCAAACAGTCTCAATTTTTTTTGACCGTCCGGAAGTTCTGTCTACCTATTGGTGGAACTATTGTTATTAATAATTAAATTGCAAAAAAACAAACAAACAAACAAACAAACAAACAAAGAAAACAAATACCCGTTTTAAACTTTAAAAAGGGTATTTGCTTTCTTTGTTTTTGTTTCGAATGATTCAAAACTTACAGACAGACAGTTACTTACTGGAGATGAGTGACGCCTCGTTAGGTTATGATTTGAGCCAAACACGACTCCTGGATACAAAGAAAAATGTAAAACATATTGCCTTGAGACTTCGAGTGGAGTTGTCCTTCACACCTGCAGTATCTCAATGATTTCAATTTTATGCTTGACAGCTTACTTTCAAGCGGTTTTTGTCTAAACTCTTACGTTTACTGCGCGCTGCAATCTAAATTGCTATTATAGTACTATAGTAGCACGTCTGATACCATATAAATAATTTGT